TGAAAACTCATGGCGCTTTTCACACACCTGTGCTTGCCTTCGATCTCGAGTGAGCCGGCTCTGTTCCTCAGCAAACCATCGATCGTATTGTTCGCGGATGAGCAGCTGAAACATTTCCGGATCTTGGCTTTTATCCAGGGCTTATTGAGAGGCATGAAAAGTTGTCACAAGAATGAATGGTTATGGGCAAAACTCTCATCCCATGCGGGAACCGAACCAGGGCCTCTCACCCTCCAGGCAGATGAGCTACCGATTACAGGGTTTTGCCAATAACCCACCATTCTTGTGGAAACTTCGCATGGCAAAAAGCAGCCAACAACAGTTAACAATCGCAGCAATAATATCCGCCTGAATTGTGCACCTGAGCAGAAGATGACGCCTCTCCGTGGATGTTGCTGGCGCGACACGTGTATTCCCCGACGTCGTCGTTGAACATCTGTGAAATCGTCAGCGAAACAATGCCCGTCTGTGGATCGTGCTCGATTTTCGCTCTGAAATTCGCACATTTCTCAAAGATTTCCTCAAATCACCTTCTATCGTTTTTGATTCCCTATATTATCAGCTTTTAGAGCAGTTTGCGATTTTGGGCTCATGGAGGGGGGGGGGTGAATGACGTGCAGCGTCGAAAAAAATAATCACTAACCGATTCTTTCACTGTTCCGTGGTAGGTCTAACCTGCTAACTTTGAAACATACACCCAAAATGATCACGAAGATACATTCCATACCCCGTGACAAACCTTCCGCTCTTCACAACTGTCTTCCATTTTCCAAGTTGCTACGAAATTGGAGAGATATTGCCTTTTAAGTGGCAAAAACTCGCATGAAAATTTCAGCATCCTCGACGCTCCCTCGACGGATTTTGAGAGACTATATCTCTTCGAATGGAAGGCTTTCATAGCAATTCCAATACTGCCTGATAGTAGCAAATCTAGCTCTATCTAACCCTACCGCGTGCTGTTCAAAAGGTTGGAAATGGAGGAATGGAACCTTTTCATCGAGGGTGTAGATTTCGACGTTTTTTTCGGGATTTCAGCAAATCTGACCCAGGGACAAATCGCGCCGCAGCTGCCGTTGAATCGGCCGTTGATCGATACACTCGGCTGTTGTGATTTTGCGTATGCTCTGTTTAGGGGGGTCGTGCCAAGACCTCGATTTCAGGGGGGGGTCGTACTTCTGCGACCACGTCCTCGACACGATTTTCACCCTGGTACGGAGTGAGAAGTGTCGCTCCAAGCGCGTTCATCACTTCAGCTAGCTGACTACCGTATGTACGTCCCATAGCCTGAAGCATCGTGTTCATAGAAAGAAGTTACGCTACCCCTGACAGATCCCACAAGGAGGCAAAGTCGCCTGAGTTCAGGAACTGCTTCCAACTATGTTATGGGGGAGAGCAGCAGCGAGGTGATTGAAGGCTAAGGTTGATGAAGGACAATAGGCGCTCACAGTGGATATGAGGCCAGCAAAGAAAAGACTGAGGTTAAGCCTAAAAGAGGCTTGTAGGCAAAAAATAGAATTTTATGAAGTCCGTTGCAATAGTGCTTTCATACTCCATAATCTTAAAAGAGCACATGCGACAGTAGACAAAAAATGCCAAATCATTTTTCTGAGGAGTTTATTCCATTGCTTCTCGCTGTATTGGGAGGATTAGCCTTGTTCCCCCCTTTTCGGCAACCCTAGAGCAAGAGAAGCGTTTTGAGAAAGTATCTACAAAGTGAAATGAAATGTCCTATGTATTGTGGAGCGTTCATAGTTGGCGATCGCACGTGCAATTAGGTTGAGCGGCGATAAGGGAGGATACGTATTGTTTGTGGCTCCGCCCATTGAGCGATCGCCTAATCGCCTAATCGCCTATCGCCTAATCGCCTACTCGCCTACTCGCCTAATCGCCTAATCGCCTAATCTATACGTATATTTTTCATTATAGACTAATCGCCTAATCGCCTAATCGCACGTACGATCGCCAACTCTGAACGCTCCATCAGAGTAACTGGACTCATTTACTCACCGGTAGTTCTGTAAAGGTTTCCCGTTTTTGAGCCATTCGACTTGAGGATGCGGCACACCTGAAAAAAAGCCCATATCCTTCATTTATCACTAATTCGTTTACTCCGTGCACCTCTCAACATTGCCTATCATGAGGATTACTATACTCATTTCAAAAGTACATAGTCGAATTTTGACTCATTTGTGAGACAGAACACTGGTAGCCAGTTGCCCGTTCAATGAGCTGTCAAAGAAGGAAAGAAGCAAGTTCTCATTGTGAAGTTTAAATGTTTACCTGCAACTCTTGCCTCCATCACCATGACCTCTGAAGGTTTCAACGGTTGATGCCGTAGTTCCTTCAAAAAGATCGGTGCGCTGGGACCTACTGGTGTTTGTGGTGGCGCTGGTGAGTACCTGAAATTGAAAAGTACAAATCGATAATTTTATTCAATCAAAATCTTACTCTGCAATCTTCCTTTTTTACAACTATCTCCTAATGGAAGTTTTTATCTCCTATGATGGAGCCGTCGCACCCAAACGGTGACTCGGGCAAGGTTAATCGTTTATTGTGAAAAAAAAACACCAACAAGAAGATCCCAGCGATTTTGGGGGTTGCGGGCCGAAGTTAAGAAAATTGAGGGAGTTGTTCTGCGATAGAGGGGTCCTTCTAGCCATTCTTTGAAAATTTTGGGAGTAGTTAAAGTTAGCTGATGTGGATGAAGTGATTAAAGGGATTGGCCAGTTTTTAACACATTCACGACGACGCCCCTTTTCCACTTTTCGGTCGCGTGGGACGGACGCGATTTTGTGGGCGCCGCCGCCTCACCACATAACCGCAGATTTTGTTTTGTAAATGAACAAAAACATGAATGTCACAAAATAATTTCTGCAATGTCCAATGCGTAAAGATTATCTAAACATATAACAGTAGGATTTCGATCAGAACGACAAATAGTGGTTACGAAAAGAGAGCATTTATTCACTTTCCCCGTGAAGGAAAAAGCATTTTACACTCGATTACGAGGTTTGCCCACCTATCTGTCCATTCCTAGCGCCTGGCAAGCCCATATGGGCTGCCATCGGCGTGAATGTGTTAAACATGTTTGTCTCCTCCCCCGCTCAACGGACATTCAAGAACAAGAAGAAAAGTGAGACGAAGTTATAGGAGAGTGGTCACGGCTCTCAGGATCAACTACTAATATTAGGTTGGCAAGAAAGTCCTGCGACACTCTTTCAATTTTTTGATTTT